ATTTTAAAAGTCACAAACCTTCACGACCCAAGTCAATAGACATTATTCATAAATCACAAAATAAAGGTGGATTTGACAATTATTGAACATTAATGAGGATATTTTATTGTTGACTGAGTGAACAATTAGTATTACTCCAATTAAAAACTGTCATTGAAGCAGCAATAAAAGGATCCATAAGTCACTTATTTGGACATTAAGTGTAGCCCATTTCTTTTTCTTTCCAACATTCAATTGAACCAGCAATATTGGAGCAAAATAGTCAATAAAACAATTACAAAAAGATTAGAAATGATACAAAACATGTCTTAACATCTCAACATTTCTAATGAGACAGGTGGGGTTTTTGTAGCACGTTCCAATCCAGGGTGTAGGAGGAGAGCGCAGCAGCAGATCAGGCACAGGATTCAATCTGTTTCTGTGCTTTGTCTTCATTTTTGTGAGCACAGAAAATCCCAGTTCACAAATATATATAGTGAAAGGAATAAGCTTAGAAATACTGACCCTACTGAGGACAGGATACTCTGAAGAAATGCTGATCCGCAACGATGATAAGGTCACAGGTCAGAAGTGGATATTGGAGATCTACATGCAGATGGTGACAAGGCGACCCAAAAAAAATCTCTTGTAACCTCATATGGAAAAAAAACTGGAAAAAAAATATAAGAATTTACCACTGTCTTTGTAGTAAATCTTTATATATGGTTCATATGTGTCATGTGGTTTACTCCTGAAAGTGGCTCCTTTTACATTTTTCTCATACAACTATATTATGAAAAACTAGTAAAGATAAAGTGAACATTTTGCATGACATTTACAGGTAATGTGCATGATCAACTACATTTTCTTTGTATGTTCCATGTAATGTTTGTATTCTTTATTATATGTTGTAGTTAAAAAAACAAAACAAAATCTGAGTCAGAAGGAGGATTTAAACCCAGGTTGCCTGTGTGATAGTCCAGTGACTCACCTGTTAAACTACCCCGCTACAGTTATTGGTTATATACTAGTTACTCCATTACTAGTAGTGAGAACTATAGCAGATATTGAGGACAGTTACAAGTATCCTGGTATCCCACAAGTAAATGGCTCCTTGTAGAGGCAACAAGAAAAGGAGCTACAGGATTTTGCAGAGTAAAAATCTTTTGATTGATTGATTGATTGATAGCATTTGCATAGCGCCTTTCAAGACACTCAAAGCACTTTACAGTTCATTATTCAGTCACTCCACACTCAGTGGTGGTAAACTACTACTGTAGCCACAGCTGCCCTGGGATAGGCTGACAGAAGCGAGGCTGCCAATCTGCGCCATCGGCCCCTCCGACCACCACCATCACTCACGCTCACACCACTTTCATACTAGGCAATGTGGGTGAAGTGTGTTGCCTAAGGACACAATGACAGTTTTTTGCCACTGGCGCCCCACTGTGGCACCTGGAATTCTCAGCGGTCTCCCATCTGCATTTTCACAGCCTGATGTATGTTCACTGTGATATCAGTGGAAGAGTGTGTGTCTTATGTTTTTTAAGGTTGTAATACAGTATTTGTATTACTGTGTTTACCCCCATGCTGCCCAACACACACACACACACACACACACACATACACACACACACACACACACAGACACACACACACACACACACACACACTGTGATAATTTTCTTTCTCACTCTCATACACACAACACAGCAATCAAGTATAATAAAGACTTACTTATATTCAGCCCTTGTAGGTTACAAAGTTTTACATGTTTCATGCTGCACATATTTACCAAAGATCTTGTAACTGTTTTCACTGTCATATACAAATCTTTTAGGATTCAGATAAAACATGTTCAAATGGTGTATGATTTGTGTATACCTTTTCCATATGGGGAAACACCTGAGGGTCATGGCCCAGTCTTTGGAAAACAGTGCTGTAACGGGCCTACACAGTGTATGTCTTTATGTCTTTATGTGCTTATGTGTTTATATGTATCTGAGAACTGATCAGGTTTTCTGAATCTGAGATAGCCTTGGTCACATTAAAGCCACATTTGGGAACATTTGTCGCGGTAGTATATCAGTAGCACCACATTCGGTATTGGTAACATATTGTCCAACTCTTGTTTTCTTCAAAATGATTATAAGCTTCTCATGGTTTATGTTAACTGAAATAATGAGGGACGCTTCCTGAGTATTAAAGCTTAGTTTTATTGCAGCTTGACCACAAATCTCCACAATAATTCCTAATCTTTTTACAAAAACTGAAAATCACCCACTCACCCTCCCACGTGCTGATCCATGCAGGGTAACACTTGAGCTACCGAATTAAAAATGAAGCCAATAAAATGTTATCGTGTCTTACAAAAGCAGATATATTACCAGCTTCAAAGCGTTCCGGACCCGTGCGGTGAACGGTGCAGTCAGCGGCCCTGCTTTTCTTCAATAAAAATGTATTCCCAGGTCCCGGAGTATCCATAAAAACTTCGAATCATGACATCAGTGAGGGCTCCAAACTGGGAGTGTGCCGACAATGCTTCACTCACCTACTCCCAAATAACTCTGAGATGAAATCATAGCCCACTCCAACACATATGGAACATGGCTTTTATTTCACAGTTATACTTTTGACCATTCTTGCCCAGTCTGGACCAGTTCACATTTTTACTGCTATCTCTTTATTATTAGTTAATGGTTGTATTATTATTACACAAAATGTACTCTCATGAGCAGTGTTGGGGAGTAACAGATTACATGTACTGGAGTTACGTAATCAGAGTACAAATTAACTGTAACTGTATTCAGTTACAGTTACTGTTTCAGTGAGTGGTAATTGGATTACAGTTACTATGTTGAAATAAATGGATTACACGGCGGTATTTTCCTGTTTTCACATTTTGGGCTAAACCAGGACTAAACCAGGACTAAACCAGGACTAAACCAGGACTAAACTAGAACATAAACCAGGACTAAATCAGGTCTAAACCAGAACTAAACTAGGACTAAAACCGAGTCTAAAACAAGGACTAAACCAGGTCTAAACAATATGACACCTAACAGTAAGGTTGGACATAATTTAAGGTGATCTCATATAAAAATAATTTCTCTATCAATAATATTTTTAATACGGTTAAGTAAAGACTGGACTTTTTCTTTTCTTTTAGCACATAAAACATCTCATGTTAAGATCCTCGTCTTTGCTCCTCTACAGTAAACAAAAGTCTGTTCATGGAGACTTGGGCTCAACAGACAATTTGAAGAGAACAAACAAGAATTTTCAGGATGTGGTTGCTACATTCATGTAGTTTTAAAAAGCAAGACAATATCAAGTAATCCAAAGTATTCAGATTACATTACTCACTTTAAGTAATTTAATGGATTACGTTACAAACTACATTTTGGGATATGTAATCTGTAGGGGAATACATTTTAAAAGTAACCTTCCCAACACTGCTTATGAGCTTTAAGTCATGTTAGAATGATGTTACCTCCTCAAAAACAGACTTTAAGTTGTGTATTGTTTTATTCACACATGTTTGTGTAATCTCTTATTATTAGTTTACATCTCCAAAGATCGTAATGCTCCGTTCCACCTTGTGATGTCATGAAGTGTTAGATTTCAAATTAACAGCTCCTTTTATCTGTTGTTCAGTAGAGAGTGGCTATTCTGGGGCTAATATCATCTTGAAGATTCTCGTGAAGGTGTGTGGAGTTTAAAAACACTTCCTGGAGAATTCAAAGAACCTAAATTTGCAGGATTTGTGTGTCAATCATGTGCGAATGAAACAAGTCCAGGTCTGTTTGTGATGAGGAAACAACATTATACAGGGTTCCCACTTTTTTCACTGACAGAATTTCAAAACTTTTCCATGACTTTTTCATGACCTAAAGTGAATTTTCCATGATTTTACGGCACCTACATGTGTAGAATTGATCAGACTTTTAGGGCTAAATATGAAATGTTAACCCTTAACACTCACCTTATGGTTTGGGATTATAGTTTTTAACATTAAAAATCCTGTCAGTGCGTTTATTGTTGTCTCTTTTTTAAAACAAAAGGCGCAGACATTCAGAAATAATCATAAAAAGCCTAATGAGAACTTAACAGAACGCTGTAGTTGCATGAAAGAGAAACTAAAATTCCATGACTTTTCCAAAACTTTAATTGGATTTACAGAATTCCATGACTTTTCCAGGCTCAGAAAATTACATTTTCAATTTCCATGACTTTTCAAGGATTTCCATGACTGTATTAACCCTGATTTTACACTAACATAGATGAGAAAATAATGTAATATGGGTGCTTTAAAGGTTTGCAATGGTCTGTGAGTCATTTGATACTGGGCCACACAGAAAGAATAAATAACTTACATTATTTCCGTTTTATTTATGATCAGAGTCTGAACAATGTTTTAGTTTGAAAAATGACCGAATTCTGTCCATTCCATCCGTCTATGACTCACTCTTATTGCATGTCAGGATGTTTGTCTCAGTCACATGACACATTAATGTTGATATTAAACCCACAAGCTGCAAAATGAGTAAAAAAAAACATCTTGACGACATCAACAACATCTTTGGAAACATTTGTTGTATTTATCTGCCACACCTTAAAGGCCGGTCTGTGAAAATATTTTCTGACATTAAAATGGTCTGTGCTGCAAAAAAGGTTGGGGACTGCTCCACTATGTAACCTTCTGTTGGATGAGTGTGCTCCATGCTTGTTTCCATGGAGATGTTATTTATTATTGAGCTTTAAGTATTTTTGAGTTATAAAACCACCTGTAATTCTATAAATGTAAGGTAGAGCTGTTTAATGTCACACTGCGGAACATTCCAGACAGAGCAATGACATATCCATAGAAACAAGCAGGTGATGGACCCCCAACCAAAAAGTTACACAGTGCACCTTTAAAACATTCCGACGCTTCAAACTCACAGGACACTCCCTGAAAATGAAAAGTGTAAAGTTGTTGTACATGAGTTTGTGAGATTGTGTTTTGTTTTGTGTTTCAGTTGTGTGTTCAGAGCGTTGTGCAGCAGACGTCACACTGTCTGGATCCTCCTGGTCTTGGTCCTGGTCTGCATCGCCTTCCAGACTTTTGTAGCTCGACAAACCAGGTACTTTTACTTTTACATTTACAATATATGGAAAAAGGAGAAATTAAATTTGTCAACTTGACAAAAGTTTATTTGGTCGAATACGTTTCGCAGCTCATCTGGTCCAAATGCTGGTGAACTCTGTCTTATATCTGCCTGAAGGGAGGAGCTAACACTGCACTGAAACTACACTGAAACTAACACACCTACTTGTTTACAGTTTCTGTTTGTCAGTTAGGCCTATTGAACTGTACAGAGTGTGGGGTCTTATTAGCAGAATCATTCAGGGCCATAATGGAGCTTCCACACCTCTGGACCTGACCTGGCCACACCTATTGTTCTCTTGTTTATTTTGATTTAGGTTTGAGGATGGAGTCCTCTGTTTCTGTTTAGAGAAGAATTCTCTTTCTTAACAAATAGAGCTTCTTTAACTCCCCTCTCAAACCAGTTCTTTTCTCTGGATTGTCTGGATCTTTTCACAGATCTGTACCTCATTGTCCTCAAAGGAATGGCCCGAGGCTTTTAGGTGGAGATGTACAGCAGACTGAGGTCCACTGTTGCTCTCTCGACTGTGTTGGTGCATCCTCTTGTGAAGTGGCTGTTTAGTAGCGTTTACTGCAGTCTTCACTGCACTGAATGGAGTAGACCACACTTTGTTTGTGGCTGGGTGTTTTGTCCTTTGGTTTAGGGTTAGAGTTGGGAGTGTTTGTAGGTTTGAAACGGACTGGGATCTCATCATGTCTGAAAATCCTCTGTAGTTTTTCAGAAACAACCGGCCATGTAAGGAATAGTTACACCCTTTCTCCTGGTATAACAAGACCAGACACTCTGTGCAGTTCAATAGGCCTAACTAACTAACAGAAAATGTATACAAGTAGGTGTGTTAGGCTACGTTCAGACTGCAGCCTGAAGTGATCCAAATCCAATTTTTTGGCCCCTGTGTGACCTGTATCTGATCTTTTAATGACAGTCTGAACCACACAGATCCGATTTTTTCAAATGCGACCCAGTCCACTTGGATATGTGCTCCTGAAACCGATACATATCTGATCTTTTGACATGTGACTTCAGTCTGAACGGCCAAAGTGCACTTGATCCACCTACATGTTATCAACAAGACACAAACGTCACTATTCTGCGCTGAAGTAGGCGAAAATTGTTAATGAACTCCGTGTCACTGAAGTGAAGCACATCACCACTCACCACTCTTGGCTACGTCTGCGCATCCACATGTTCCTTTCAACAGACGTTGCTGCCGCTGTCCAACAAAACACCACAGCCAAAAACCTCGTCCTTCTCCTTCTCAATCTTCAAGTTGTTCATGTTCTGGCTCTGGTACGAGAGGAACTTTAAAATCTCCAGGTGCTCAATGGTCGCGTCCATGTTTGGACAACTTCCGTAAACACAGAGCACGCTCACTGCGGTTGACGTCATCGTGTCCTCTGGTGTGCATGTGGGACACTTTTGGGCCGTTTAATGTTCACACTGGAGTCACATACAAGTCGCATTTAATTGGAAATGTGAACGACCTCGCAAAAACATCGGATTTCGCAAAAAAATCCGAATTGAACATTAAGCCCTGCAGTCTGAACGTAGCCTTAGTTTCAGAGTAGTTTTAGTGTAGTTAGCTCCTCCCTTCAGACAGATATGAGGAAGTGCCCACCAGTGTCTGACCAGAACTGAAGAAGCAGCTCGGATGAACTGCGAAACATATTTGACCGAATAAACTTTTGTCCAGTTGACAAGTTGAATTTCTTGTTTTGCCATGGATTCTACCTGGACGACTCACACATTTATATGTTTACAAGTGTTTCTGAGCAACAACAACACAAATAAAAACACATTCTGATTATATATATATATATATATATATATATATATCTCTGTACATCCTCCACGAGAAAAATAACACGCTGCACCTCCAAATGAGTTAGAAACATCTTCGTATCTGTATCAAGGTCCTCTGTTGTATTGTCCCTGGTAATGACTTGATGTTATGAGCTGACACGAGGCTCCGGTGTAAACTCAGCTCACGGTGCGTCTCTTTCTGATCCATAGTTTTTGTATGAAATATTGATCTGTGCGGGGGCTCGTGTTTCTGGGTCAGCTCGTGTCTAGACTCAGGCTGATTAAAGGGGGAGCACGGTTCAAACACACCACAGCGCAGAGTACAGGGCAGAGGAACCGACTGGAAATGACCGAGGGGAGGGGCGGGTAATTACACCAGGAAATGAACACTTAGCTAATGGAGCCGTGACAACGCTCACGCTAATGTAAAATTGGCCCATATGGCTTAATGTGATTTTTCCCTAATTAAAGTAAAATGTGTCTTGCCCCGGTACAGACATATTGTATAAGCATTGATTTAGGTCAAAATAAGTCAGCTGTGTAATCTCTGCATCTAATTATACGGTGTTTTATTGTCCGAATCAGGAGAGTTATGGTTAGCATGCTCATTGTTTAGGGTGACCAGATGTCCCGGGACAGGCCCAGTTTTGAACCCTGTGTCCCCTGTCCCAGCAAATTTATCCAAAACCAGTGATTTGTCTCAGTTTTAAACAAGAAATGTCCCAAGTATTCCTATTTTTGACCAGTTTAATACCTGCCAACAGTAAAGAGAGGCTTACATTGTCATCATGGCCCAGTCAAGCAGAAGTAAACAGCAAGGCCAAAAATTCAAGTTAATGCATCTGATATAAAAATGTATTGAACAGATACATATGTACTCTAGTTTATGAAACTGTTGACCTTTTTTCTGTACCATTTTTGGTTCTAAAGTTCCATCCGTTTTAAACAGACCATGTATGAAACATGGAACAAAAATTATTTCCCAAATTTCACAGACCTGCAAATCATGTCAATAAATGGATGTATTTCATCATATCTTGTGTTATTCCATCTTTGAACTGTTGATGAAGGGACAGGATTTAAAAAAAAAAAAGTATTTAAAATGATAAAATTTGCTTGGAAGGACTGACATATTTTATAGAAATAGTTTCCTTTCATTTTAAGTAATATTAAAGTATTCAGAAGAAAAAAGTTGACAAATTATGCAAAATCATGCAAATTCTACTTGTTTGTACAATTTTCCCTCCGTTACTTTTCCCTCCGTTACCATGACCTTTCTTAATAAAAAATCTCATGACTCAAAAAGTAAGAGGTTTTTCAACCTAATCTTGTACCATATGGTAGAAAACTATATGAAGCAAATATTCAAACCAGTTTGTTAAGAATATGTAGGTGAGAACCGCTAGTTATCACTGTTTGTATTTATTGCCCAAAAAGTGCTGCATATTTCATTCCCTCCATTACCGACATGAGTTTTTAAATTTTTGTCAACAACTTGAAAGAATATCACAGGTTTAACTTGACCCTGTTGGAGTGTAACTCTTTCCTACATTCTGATATTTTACTTATTTCAATAGTCCCTCTAGTTTCTGAATAAGAGACATTTGAATGTCAAAAATCTGCCCCTGTTTCCCTCCGTTACCTCTTGACTGGACCCATTTGTTTACGTAAAATGTAAAAAATCTGCTTAAAAATCACCAGAATACAAAGAAAATGTGACTATACTGACTCACATGTTGGTAATGAATGGGCTGAGTGCAGAACAATTTTCCTTAATTACACACTCATTTCAAAATTTTATTTTTACAAACCACCACAAACCGAGGATGTCCCAGTTTTTGATTTTGAAAGTCTAGTGACCCGGTCATTGTTGTTAGCATTACTAAGATGACAAACTCCTCTCTGATGTTTGAAAGTTGTGAAAAGTGCTTAGAAACTCATCATGGTTAATGATTAAGATGCTTAGAATTTGTTCATGAAAAATAGAACAGTTTCATTTAAATGAAATATTTTAATTTATTTGTTTTTCATGTTTTAAAAACTGGTTACAGCTCTTTGTTTGTCATATTTGTCTAAGACATGTTCTTCTAATCGCTGAAACCAGGTATACACTGTGCGATTTTTGGGATGACTTTTATCTTAAACAGGTGTCATGCTTTGTGTAGTTTACATGAGGTAATGAGAACCAGTTAATACTTCATAACCAGCTCTCGATCGGCATTCGTAGGTCACAAGAATATCAAACCTGTTTGAAATCCAGTCACCTCTCGTGAGGGTTTCACTGTTGAAATAGTTTGTAAAGTGTGAGAACATGAATCATGAGCTGTGAACTTTTAAACCCTGTGATTTGGTCGTACAGTTTGAGGTGGGGCTGAGTGAAACGATCGAAAATATTGCACAGTGAACGTCCAGCATCAGTCATCCAGGTAAGATCCATAGCAAAGGAGAAATTCAATTGTGTGAGCTGGACAAAAGTTTCTGGTCAGACACTGTCTTATATCTGCCTGAAGGGAAGAACTGACTACAACTAACTGTAGTATCTGACCAGAACTGAAGAAGCAGCTTGGATGAGCTGACAAACGTATGAATTTCTCCTTTGTGATGTCTAACACATGTGCGCATGTCAAGTTATAAGAAGAATAAGTGTAGAGAGATGTTGTTTCCTCATCTCAAACAGACCTGGACTCATGTTTTGTTTCATTCACACATGTTTAACACACAGACTCTGCAAATTTAGGCTGAGTTCTTCTCTCAAACAGAAAACACTTGTGATGTCATGTGCTAAAACCTCATAAACCTTCATTTCATTACAATTATTTGGATCATTTCAGCCCTGGAATTTCTGATCTCTACTGTAGCTGTTAACTGGAACGCTTCATGACATCACAAGGTGGAACAGAACATTTTGGGCTTTGTAGATGAAGGCTAATATTAAAGGATTTCTCAAACATATGAATAAAACACAACTCCAGGTCTGTTTTTTAGGATGTAACAGCATTACCACAAGACCTAAAGCTCACAGGAGTCACTGCTGTGTAAAATCTGACCTTTACTTCGTCTGTGAATAGTAATAGTAGAAGACAGCCCATTCCATTTGAAGCTTTACTTTTCAAAATATCTTTGTACCAATGAACCTAATGTATTATTTCACTAATTCACACTAACAGCATTTTCTTATGTTTCTGTTTCAGACATGACAAAGACTCCGGTGTGGCTGTGCTTCATTTCTCTGTGAAGAAACCACCGACATTTTCTCTGAACTCCATTTTGGGAAACTTCTGGTCCAACTCTGACCTGAACCCCGAACCACTGCAAAACGAGGAAACCAACTCACAACTGCAAAACTCAGACCATTTCTCATCCAAAAGAACCAGCAAAACCACCATCACAAGAAGCAAACACACATCGCCAAGCAAAAGACTCTCAACTGTTGATAGAAAATGCAGAGCCAGGACTCACGTCGTTTTCCTGAAGACCCACAAAACGGCGAGCAGCACCATCTTGAACATCTTGTATCGTTTTGGAGAAAGCAGGAACTTGACGTTTCGCTCTTCCGTTGAACAAAAACAGTCAGTTGTTTTATCCTTCCTTCTTCGCTCCTCATTTCGTGGAGGGAGTGAACAGCCACCGCTTCAGCGAGTTTCACATCATGTGCAACCACATGAGGTTCAAGGGGTCCCAGGTGAGTACTGGATTATGGAGTAGAAGGAGGACTAAACCAGAACTAGACCTGAATTTACTGTATTTTTTGGACTATAAGGCGCACTTAAAGTCTTTTAACAGTGCACCTTATAATCCGGTGTACCTTATGTATTAATTCTGGTTATGCTTACTGACCTCGAACCGATTTTATGTGGTACATGGAGCTCAAAAATCTGTCAAAATGTTTTAGTAAGACTTTGGTAAACTACAAAGCTGCTCTGTTTGATGGATTGTTGGAGCACTATGGCGAGCGTAGTCAGTAAAGCCCAATTTATGGTCCTTAGTCCGACAGAAGCTGAACCACATCAGCGCACAAGCAATGAGCTGTTTTTGAGTGCTTATAGTTTATGCAAATGAGCCATGTGATTTTTAAGTTTCGTTTCTGTCAAATGTAAACAAATGTGCTCAAAGCTGCATTAAACACATTATTACCCAATGTATATTTGAGTCGTCCTCGTAGGAAATAAAAAACAAACTTAAATGATCCACTCACATTCACATTCATAATCCACATTCACCAAGACAGAGAGGCAACGCCGGGCGAATTACACCACGATCTGCCAATGGATCGTAGACGCCTGGACTAAGAGATCAGTCTCAAGTGTCGTCCGTTAGTTTGGCTTAATGTTCCTTATAATCCAGTGCACCTTATGTATGAAAATAGACGAGAGAATTCAACATTATTGATATTCCTATACAGTAGTTACTATGGGAACTGCTGGAATATATTTAGTATTCCTGTGTTTCATAACGATGAAATTAGGATGGTTGGCCTAGCAATTAACAATTTAAAGGTCTTATATTACACAAAATGACTCTTCTGAGATTTTAGCTATGTTAAAATGTTGTTAAATCCTCTAAAACATATCTGGAGTTGTATTTTGTTTTATTCACACATGCTTGAGTAATCCTTTATTTTTTGGAGATGTCTGCTTACATCTCCAAAGCTCAAAATGCTCTGTTTCACTTTGTGATGTCACGTAGGGGTAGTTTTCAACTTAACAGCTCCTTTTATAGGGCAGAAAGGATCCAAGTGATTCTAGTGAAGGTGCATGGAGTTTAAAAACGCAATGGAGCACTTCCTGTATTACCGCATGACGTTACAAGGTGGAACTGAGTGTATTCCCTGGTTGTCAAAAATGTGCGAATGAAACAAAGCAAAGCACCAGGTATGATTTTGAGGAGACTTAAATAAAATCACAAACAACTGCCCTCAATTTCACAAATAAACACTGTTGGGCAAGTTACTTCAAAATGGTAATGTGTTATTAATGACTTGTTACTGTCATTTCAAAGTCATTTGTTACATTACAATATTACTGCATTTAAAATGTAAAACATTACACGACTATTACAGCACTTTTAAGTTACTCTCACCAAAGATGTTGAACTTTTGTGCCATATATGGACTGAACCAATACTAAACCAGGACTGAACCAGGACTGAACCAGGACTGAACCAGGTCTAAACCAGGACTGAACCAGGACTGAACCAGGACTGAACCAGGTCTAAACCAGGTCTAAACCAGGACTGAACCAGGTCTAAACCAGGACTGAACCAGGACTAAACCAGGTCTAAACCAGGACTGAAACCAGGACCGAACCAGGACTAAACCAGGACTAAACCAGGTCTAAACCAGGACCGAACCAGGACCGAACCAGGACTGAACCAGGACTGAACCAGGACTAAACCACTAAACCAGGACTGAACCAGGTCTAAACCAGGACTAAACCAGGACTAAACCAGGACTAAACCAGGTCTAAGCCAGGTCTAAACCACGACTGAACCAGGACTAAACCAGGACTAAACCAGATTTAAACCAGGACCAAACCAGCACTAATCTTGAACTAGGACTTGGAAAGGGACCGCCCCTGAGAGGTTAAAAAAGCTTTGTAACGCTTGTTACTGACATTTGTACTGAGTCAAATACTAAATTGCTACAAAAAGCAATGCATTACAGTAATTTGTTACTTTTATAATGTGTTACTCCCAACACCTAAATAAAATGTAATATAAACTGAAACCAATTTACAAACCAGGTCAAGACTGTCTAAAAGATGGTCTAAAACCAGGATTTAACCATCCTTTAACCTGGACTAATTACAGACTTTACCGTGCAGTTCCCCATGGCGTCTGCAAAACGCCTCCACAAAAGCAGGCTTACACGAGGACAACAAGTTTACCATTTTGACCAAACTAAAAAGCTCAGCGTGTGCTTTTGATTAAAATGATCAAACTTGAGTGATATATTGTTTGAAACAGCTTGAAGCTCTTTGCTGCGACAAAGACTTGCCTGCAGTTAACACTCGGGGCATGTGTGGGCCATATGCTGGGCTTATTAAGATCACAAACAGATGGAAGGACAGAAACAGATAGTGTGTATTTCTGTACCATAAACATGAGCCTGTTACAGAGGGTGGGGGAGGTCTCAGAGGGAGAGAGAGCGTACAAAAACTGAACCTACATAGATTTGATTAAAGATATGACTCATTTTCTACATGGATTGTATGTGAACATTACAACTTATGGACTCTTGTGAGCTTTAAGTCATGTCAGAATGTTGTTACCTCCTCAAAAACAGATCTAGAGTTTTGTTTTGTTTCATTGACACATGTTTGAGGACCTCTTTACTTAGCCAGTCTGCATGGTCAAAGCTCAAAACGCACCATTCCACCTTGTGATGTCATGAAGCAGTAGGTTTGAAGTGGTACCTTTTGCGTTTTGTTTAGTACCGATTGGAAATTCCAAAGCTGACATGATAAAAATGATTCTAGTGAACTGTACACTTTATTTTTTAAATCAAATATACAATGTAATATACAACGGTACAAACAATAACACTACCAGAGATTCAACAAGGGCTCAGAATGTGCAACATCTTCATTACAAGTAAATATGCATTATACAAATTCAGAAAAAGAAAAAATAATAAATAACACATTCATGTTTTATATTTCAAATTCCATACAAAGTGCTTTTGTTTTTATGGCTTTGGGATTTGTACAATAATTTAGAGAATGAATATAAGAGGACAAGAAGGACGGAAATACAACAAATATGGGTTTCTGACTTGAACATTTACAGAGATGTATATGGAATTTTGAAAGGATTAGGATTAAGTTCAACACATATACATTTTTGGCAGGAATAACTTTCTCAAAGACACCAAAAAGTAATTTAAAAACGCATTGGAGCATTTCCTGTATAACCAAATGAGATCACAAGGTGGAACAGAGTGTTTCTGTTTGAGGGACAAACTCAGCCTAAATATTAAACATTAAACATGTTAAACATGTGTGAATGAAAAACAAATCCGCAACTCCAAGTGTGTTTTTGATGAGAAAACAGCATAACATAATAACATAGATCAGAAAATACTGTAATGTACACTGCTAAAAAGTTTGGCCAAAATGTAAGATATAAACACTTAAATTTATCAGAAAATGACTTAAAAGTAGTGAAATTATCTGTCCATGCCGCAAGATCATTTTACTTGACTAAATCTTAGATAAGACTCAAAACCAGTTTATGATTAGTGTTCATGGCCTGGTAATTCTAATAAATAATAATTCTAAGATAATTCTAAGAAATTCTAGATAATAAATTCTGCTAAGTTCTAGAAAACATACTTAAAACAAGTTTATGATTAGTATGAATGGACTAACGACTATCATGTAAGACTGATTTCAAGTACTGTATTTTTCAGACTATAAGCGGGTCCGGAGTATAAGTTGCATCAGCCAAAAAATGTGTAATGAAGAAAAAACATATATAAGTCACACCGGACTATAAGTCACATTCTTTGGCAGAAATTTATTTGATAAAATCAGACACCAGGAACCGACATTTCCTGTTGAAAGTCAAGTTGTAGTAATAACAATAGAAGAGAGAACAACAGACTGTTAACGTCACATATGAACAGTTCTTCAGATAAACTATAACATAAACAACAGAACAGAACAAGTTTAACAAACTCTCCATCTCACTCCAAATCACTAAATCCATTCAATTCTTCATCCTCGATGTCACTTCTGAGCAACTCCACAACCTCTGGAGGTAAACAGAGCGCCGCTTCCTCTTGAATCCCAACAGGATGGTTTCGGTGTCACTGAAGTCACTTAAATATTAAATTGTTCAGTGGTGCAGAAGTAATGGTGCGATCGACTGACATGATACAGACAGGACAGAGGCTCTTTCTGCAGGAGACATGCGCAGTAGAGTGAAGTGACAGTGGTACAGGAAGAACAGGAGCAGCAGATACTCACACACAAGACTAGAACCTCTCACGGCTTCACTCTGAACATTTTAATATATAAGTCGCATGGAGTATAAGTCCCAGGATCACCCACACCATTAAAAAAAGTGTGACTAGTCTGAAAAATACGGTAACTAGTATCATTTAAGACTGATTTCAGTTATATCTAGAATTTAGCATCTTTGAATTTATTTTCAGGCCAATTCAAGCAATTCAAAACTAGTAAGTAGATAATAAATCAAGATGAATAACCTGATAGAAGTTTTGGCCAGATCAGAAAGATTTGCAGTGTAGGCCCATTAAGTTTGAAAATATGAAGTGTCAGGACCTGGAATTTGTTGGTAAGGTTGAAACATTATGGAATAAATATAAAGAGTTGGTTGTATGAGTGTCAGATTGTATGTGTGTGTCACATTAGTATCTGAGAGATCACTCGAAGTATTAGCAGCTACATTATGAGACTTGTTTTGGGATATTTTGCTGATAGTAACTTCGCGGTGACAGTGCTGACTAATAAAAAGACACATGAGCACATTACAGCCATACGAGCCTCGCTACACTGACTCCCCATCAACTTTAGAATCGATTTAAAAATTTTATAAATAACTTTCAAAGCCCTTAATGCCCTCGGCGCAGATTACATCACTGACCTTCTGTGTCTGTGTGCTCCTCACCTTTTCTGTCACAGCCGCAAAGCTATAGAATCCCTTACCTGAGGAACTAAG